AAAATCAATTGGTCACCTTGTCCAGTGTCGAAAAGCACTGGCAACATGGCGGCTGAAAAGCGGTAAGCGTAGGGCGCCGGCTCTGGAAAGAATGCTTGGATCAAGGGGATGGCAGCTGTTCAGGGACTACGTCCAGGAGAGCGGGATTTACGCGGAGGCTAGTCGGGGGATGGCAGGGATACCTGTGACTCGGAGTTCATAGATCAAAGGCCTAGGTGGTTTGGCATGGACAGAGAGATTGGAATCGAGGCTCAGGTGCGTGGTGGCTGAGGCGGAACGATGGAAGGGAAATTGTTTAAGTTTTTCTTTTGTAATGCGGGATTTCGCGTGAAAGTTCTTGTTTTGTTCTCAATTCTGGGCTGCTGAATTCGTCATGATTCAACACATAGATGCATTTTGGCATGATTCCGGTCATTTAGGTGGGACGAGGCATTTGTACTGTACGGTAGTTAACCTGATCCGGCCCGAACTCACTCGTGCTCAAGCTCCAGTAGGAGTGCGACGGTAGTTACTTCACCTAGCACGTTAATGAACAAAAAACGCACAATTCGAGAGATTCGAAAATTCATTTTTTCCCTCTTTCCTCCCTTCTCGAACTCGTCGCATCCGTCTCTGAATTGTGATCGAGCTCAGGCATTTTCACCATGCCTCCAGTTCGCAAAAAGCATCCCAACGCCAAGTTGGACAAAACGAGAGTCCACCCGAGGGCTCTTGAACAAGTACCTGGCCTTGTCCAGTCTCCGAAATGCGCGGAGATGAGCATGGTCTCCATCAAAGAGAAGGAAAAAGCCCTCCCCGCCGTCGCTGGGCCCGATACTGACATGATCGGGTCAGTTGAAATTATTGAGGAATTTCCTCAACCACCCTCCGTCCCCCACGGGATTGGAGAATCGTCAAAATCTCCTCCGACCGCATCAAAACCGTCGGAAAACGCTGCACCCAAAGCAGCGCCAAAATCAACGTCGCAGCCGAAAGCTGCTACGAAAGCAGACTGTCCCCCCGAGCTTCGACCAATTGTCGAAGCTGAACAACGACGCGCCGCCGAAACAGCGGCAAATCTGGCCCTCTGTTCCACCGCCATCTCTGGCGTCGAAGCCACCCTCCTCCTTTTGACCAACAGGTCAAATAGACAATTCGTAGACTCGATGAGAGTCTATCTACGCGCCGCCATCGCGCAATATATGGCTACGGGCCCGGCCTCCCTCCTCGCCCGGCGAATCCTCCCCGAAGAGTTCCCGATGCCAAGAGCCAATCAATATCCACCGTCCCAGCTCTGCCCTTCAAAAGCACCTGGGCCACGGTGGCCAGAAACGGGCTGCGACAAAAAGCAGTCCCAACAGCAAAGGCTGTGCCGCAACATGCGGCAAAAGCCCCAAGGAAAGAAACTTCAAAGGCGAAAGTCGATAAGTGACTGTTCCTTCACCTTGAAAAGGACCACCCGTGGCGAAAATTGTCCACAAGTTGCGTGAGAACCAGATCTGAGTACAAATTCGACTACTTTGACAATGAAATAACCTCACTCCATCAAGTGAGAACCGGCTTTTCTATGATAGCAAAGAACGACCAAATACGACAAGAGTTGCTAGATGGCTCTTCGAAGCTGGCGAACGAAAACGCCAAACTTGAGGCATCTTCGAATCTTGTCGCCTTACAGATACCGAACGTACCTGTAAGTATAGTTACAGTATGCGGCCCCAGGGCGGTCGATGATAAGTTGGCCTCTGCCAAGATTCTCAGTACGACCGGCGTGCTTCCAATCCAGGTTAGACCTCATGGGACGTGTCGACCTGGGGCACCATATCGAAACTGGCATGCCATTTTTCCCGAGACAACGCCCCCCGTGCGGGCTTCCGCCTCTTCGACGAGTCTGGTAAGGCTACCATCCACAAGCCTCGTCGACAAATTGAACAGTGTAAACGCTGTTTGGGCTTCCACGCCACCCGTGGTTGCTCCCGCGCATCAGCCTGCTGGAACTGCGGATCAAATATGCACTCGGAATCCAAGTGCAAGGCCCTCACAAAGTGTCGCCACTGTGGGGGACCCCACCGATCGGATTCTCGGGACTGCAAAGTCAGACCCAGAAAATCTGGACCGGTGACCAAAGAGCAGCTCGCGTAGATTCGCCACCTCGAGCAAGGGGAATTCTCAAAGGTGGCACGAGCTCGAGCAGCAGCCAAAAGGGCCGAAGAGGCGATCGTCGCCGCAGTGAAGGATGTCTCGATGGCCGAAGCAACAGGTTTCGGGGCCCTGTAAGCTGAAAAAGAAGTTTGAGCACACAGCAACCTCGACGATGTCCCCTTTCGGGGCATCTACTAACCAATAGCAGGATACCGGCTGAATCAAAGGTGCCTGCTAACCCATCTTTTGCTCTCAGCGGAGAATGGGCAAATTTGTCATTTGGAAGGTGTGACGGACGAGGGAATATGTGAGGAGCACATTGCTTGGGTCCAACATGGAGGAATCTTCTGGTTTTCGGAGCTGTTTTGAGTTTCTTAATTTTCGTTTCAGTTTAATCAGCTGCACTTTTGATAGCGATTCACGAGGTTGGAACGAGTTAGGCTGTAGGAGGGCAAGACTGAACACCTATGCGCGGTGTCCTCTACGAACCTGGGAGTGAAATATTCTCTCAGAGCCAAGTTCAGTCAAACTTCGCAATACCGAACAAGTTGGCCCACGAGGCAATGATTCAAAATACTCCACCATATCAATCTTTCACTCCCAACGAAATAGATTCCTACCTAAGCCTCATCAAGTTTACAAGTACGACCTAGTACACCCTCATTCCAATGACCACACCTCTTTTCGACTTTCTCTGGCCTTAGCTTGTCGCCAGATACACGCCCACGCCGATATTTACACCCGACGGAGAAAGCAAAGCGTGGCGCACAAATCTGGAAGATAATTCCTTGGGATGGAGGTGAGAGGGATCAGGACAAGTTGATAAGATGATGCAGAGGATTGGATACAGTCTCGACAGGCGTGGAATTTTGAGTTTTGGAAAGGAGTCTTTACAAATTGAGCTTTGTGTGTGCCAAGTCTTCGGTTGCGAGAGTGCAGGCGACACTATAAAAACCGCAATGGTTGGATGGTGCGGTGGTACATCGTCTTGGCCGGTCTGCCAAGTAGAGTCTGGATAGCTTGGACACATATCTCACTTGAGACAGTAGATTGCTGGCTCAAATCCAGCAAAACACAACCACATTTCTCGCGGCGCTGGCATGCATGGATGACGAAGGCATGCTTGGATAACCAAAGGTTTTGAAATTCCCTTTGGTGGGTACTTACGGAGGAGGGTCGACTGTTTGTGTAAGCAAGCATACCTCATAGTGGTATTTGCGAATGAAATCCAGAGTATGAGTGTCTCTAACGTCAAAAGAGTCATCCAACATGTATACATAGCACTGGTTATTTGTCATAGCTAGATAGCTGAATACACATTAAATGATTCAAAAAAAAAAAAAAAAAAAGAGTTAGGCTGTAGGAAAGATTACAGGGAACCCCGCCGGCTCCGCCGGTCCTTGACCCAATGGAAAACATAGCTTTAGCTTAGGACCAAAATAAATAAAAAAAAAAACAAACGTGACTGTGGGAATGGAGCTATAAGAAAGGCATGAATTATTATGTAACCTCAATTTAGGCTATAGCATGTGACTTCAAATAAATAGTTGGCCACTCCATAGCCTAACTAGCAGAAGTATGACAACTACTTCACTACTTAATGACTACCTACTAGAACATAGTAAAGTAAAGTTGCATAGAGTAAGACTAACAATGACTTTACCACTAATTCATAAAAGCACCGCGAGAAATATAGTGGAGCTAGCAAAGACAAATTCCTCACATTCCAGCGGTGCCGTTGTAATCTCTCAGTACGCTCTGCACATCTAGGATAGCTAAGAAGAATCACATACGAATCGAAGTCAAAAGCAACCTCACGCACGTCTAAAATTGATTTCTCGTCAACGTTGGACCTATCATTTTCACGCGAGTCCTCTACCTCAATCTTACTAGACTACTTCGCCTCAAAAAGCGATAAAGGCTTTGCTTCAATTGCAATCGGGAATTTGCCTCATCTCAAATCGGCCATCTCCTTCTAAAGAATTACGATGCTATATATATCCGCAAGGAGAAAGCTAAGTAATAACATGCAAAGCTCGAGTCTTAGTCTATGGGGAACCGTGTTCCTAGTACGGCTTCACATATAAAGGGGGGAACAGGCAGCCGGGATGTGCAACGAGCGAGTGAAGAGGTTACAAATAGACATGCTGGAACTCACATTTTTCGATTGTTCATGACCCTCAGGTACATTTGGGCGCCGAGGCTTCGATTTTAGATAGTGCTACAGATACTTTTAAAAACAGGCAGCGATGGAGAGTGTTATACTCCGCCTCCTGGTCATCATCCCCCCGAATTAAAGTCTTGGTAGCCTGGACACCTGCCTCACTCGAGAAAGGGAGGTCTGTGAGGCCATATCTCGCGAGGTGGCTATATACAAGATGGCAAAGCCATGTTAGGGTAGCCAAATGTTTTTCCTGTTTTCTCTTTGATGGATATCAACGGTTGAGGGAATGATGAAAGTCCCAAGTACAAAGATCCTGTGTGGTATTAGCGAATGCACTCATTACTTGAGTTTTTAGTTTTTTAATAGTTTTTTTAAAGTCAATTTACATCCTGTATAAGTCCCACTACATGAGTCGTCCAAATGTCAACCCGAGTCATTCTCTATGGTTTCTAGGCCTGTACCCGTCACGAATGAACACCTATTCATTCATACAAATGTAGACGCGTTAGATTCGTTCCGTAGGCGACGACCTATCTGATAAAGTGATAAGGCATATCGGCCTTGGCATGTGATCTTCCCGTCTGTCGCCTAATATAATTTTTTTAAATTTTCTGATCACAATTTTTCATAGCTTATGTAAATCCGACGCAAGACACACCTACCACTTGCTGCACATCAGAAGATTCTACTCAATTTTACAGTAAAAAGAACAGTGAACATGGCACCACAACCTAAGACAACCGCTAAGGGTGGGAGTGGTACACCTTACCAGCTCAATCTGAACCAGGTCAGTAAAGCTGTCTATCCTTATGTTTAATCTAATTTATCTTAGGTTTCCAAAGCTACAGAGTCTCTTCTCGCTCATATTCAAGCAACGCAAAAATCTAAATTGGGTGAAGAAAAGTCAACATTGCTCGACGAAGATCCCCTCGAAGATTCTCCAATATGGTTTCAACTCACAACCAAATTACACATCACTGCTAACAAGCGACTCAAACCCATAAAAATATCCTTGCCTCACCCACTTCACACGCATGCTAATTCTTCTATTTGCTTGATAACCGCGGATCCACAAAGAGCAGTTAAGGATCTTATTTCACACCCTTCGTTTCCCACTGCTCTTTCAGGTCGTATAACCAGAGTTGTTGGCCTCCATAAATTAAAATCGAAATGGTCACAATACGAAGCGCAAAGAAAACTTTATGCTGAACATGACATCTTCCTTGCCGACGATCGTGTGGTAACAGCACTTCCCGCGATTCTCGGCAAAACCTTCTACAAAAGTACAGCAAAACGACCCATACCAATAGCTATTCAACAACAAACTCCGAAAGTTGGCGGCGTACGAGTAAAAAAAGTCAAGGGTGATCCGCCGCGTGAACTTGCCAACGTTACTGCTGTGGTAAAGGAGATAGAGAAGGCGCTAGGAAGTGCCGCTGTCTATCTAAGTCCTAGTACGATAACTGCCGTTAGAATAGGCTTTGCAAACTGGAGTGCGGATAAATTACAGGAAAATATCAAAGCAGTCACCGATACATTGATCGAAGGCGTCGTTGCAAAGAAATGGAGAGGTGTGAAGAGTTTGCACATTAAGGGAGCAGAAACAGCTAGTTTACCGATTTGGCTAGCAGAAGAAATTTGGACGGACGAAAAAGATGTGAAGAAGGTATAAAACCTGGCAAGACAGGGCGTATCTTTGACAGTGCACATAGCGGATAAAATCTAGCTCTACCATCAAATGATAGCTGTTATCTAATGAGTTGATTGAAGCATAAATTTATTTATGTTTGGTGTTAACACCGCATAACGGCCTGAAAATGAACAGGAGGCTTGTCGACCAAATTAGCGCAAAATTATAGCAGACTGAAACCAGAGGATAATTAAAACTAGTCTCCAAAGCCCAGCATGGAGCCTTTGAATGAAAGTAATTGAAGGAGGATTTAAATAATTGAGATCTCTAGTACTTTTGTGTTGAAGCACGTTAAAGTGCATTCAATGGGGGTAGCAATGAAAAGTCCTGATCGACTGGAGCTCTTAAAGTGGAAATTACGGATACACTGTATTAATATTACTAAATTTCAGTGTTCATTCAAACATCAGAAAATGACATCTGATAATTTTTAAGATAAGAATTTTATTATAGTCCCTTCTGAGTCTAATGCTATGAAGGACTTATCATCAATATTGTCAAGGTGCAAATTAACCCACTTGATATCCATACTTTAGATTTCATCCGTAAGCACTACGGTAAATCTTAATTTTACACGCATTAAAACTCATATAGGTAGACTAGAAACCCCCAGTAGACACTTCAAAACTCGTTAGAGTAGTATTCCCTCCGTCATGGGCCTGTAGAATGAAGGACCGATACTTAACACTTATTGATAACGAATCTTCAATACCGACAGTGAAATATTTGTTTAGTACCCAGCTCTAGTTAATTTCGTGATATCAAAGAAATAGGTATGCAAGAAAATTACTCAAGTCTCCTAACTCCCTCAATCTTTTATATCTAACCAGGTAAATCCATTTACGCCACATTAGGACCAGAAGCATATCAAGTTGATCCTGATTCTATAACTATACTTCAATTAGCTCAGTCTCTATTCCTAGCTGGCTCCTAAATGAACGCCCACGAGAAAATACATGCAGTAGAAGGACAATATTGTGGCGCATACATCTAACGAGACAGATCTCTGAGATATACGCGAGAGATAATAGAGAAGTAGTTTAGGATAATTCAAAGAATGAAAAACCAATCCCGGGAGTGGTGGATATTCGGGTCGGGAACAAGATTTGATATTGAGGTGGATTATACACGCCACGAATCCGTTTGCAGAAGTGCAGATAACACTTCAACGCCTCGTTGGATAGATGGTGCATAATTCCATCATCTGGGCCAATCCCTTTGGTAGATTCCGGATATCAGGGGCGTCTACCCCAATTGACACAGGAGATCGCTGGTTCGAATCCAGCTAAAACCAAGCATGCTTCTCGCGGTGCTCGTGTGCATGGATGAAGGCATGCCTGGATAACCAGAGAATTAGTGAATTCCCTTTGGTGAGTACTCCCACGTGACAGTCGACTGTTTGTGCAAGCAAACACACCTTTTGGTACAGTCAGACCCCTGTTAAGACGATATTGCCATTTATACGATATATTTTCCAGAACGGACTTCGTTCCCATACATTTACCGATTACTCGATTATCGTTCTTCAACCTCTGAATAACATCATAACCAGGGCTTTTTTTGTTAGATTGGTGCTGATAATGCCGCCAAAAAAGGGAATCTCTGTAGAGCAGCGGCGTGCTCTGCGACGATGCGCGCACCGCCAGGTACCAAAACCAACACAAAAACAGTGCATTGAGTGGTTTGCTGAGTACGGCCATCGATTAAGCCAGTTCAGTCTCCGAGTCCCTAAACAAGACCTTTGCGAAACTCGACGAAGCCACTAGTACCACTGTGCTACGACAGCGAGCTGGGAACTGGCCTGACCTTGAGAGTATTGGAGGGATGAAAGACGGCAATTGGGAGTATAATAGAGGCATCAAAAGTACAAATTAGCCCAGATAGCTGGATTAGATAATCATATCCTTTTAAACGATATCCTCTATGTGACGATATTTTTCACGACCCCGATTACATCGTCTTAACAGGGGTCTGACTGTAGCATGTGCTTGTGAAATCCAGTGCATGACTATCTGAAATCAAAATAGTGATTCAACATGTACACATAACCCTGATAATACGTCGTGGGTCAGCTACTTTGCTGATTCTATAAAAATGATTTTGAAATATCAAAAAAGTGACGAGAGGCTGAGTAATGGCTCTATCCTACGAACAAGTATCAGGGTCCTTCAAAGCTGGCTATCTTATCCTCAGTCACACACCCACTCATGACGCATATGTACTACCTTCCAGAACAATAATGGAAGATTTCAACAAAAGCCAACGTGTCACTACAGTCTATTTATATCAATCTTGTGCGTCTATTAAGTGGCAGATCAAGATGTCCTTTTGGAAGGGATGGAGTTAATCGATGGCTAAGTAGATAGATATCTCGATTCCTCTTCAGACTAGAGCTCAAACTTTACACATTCATGATCTCAATCGCCCTGAACCTATATCTACGTCAGGAGGAGGAATCATAAACCTCCAGGCGGATAAACTGCCACTGATCAGGTCAATGTACCTTTGTACTTAAGACCAGCCATTATTGTCTGTTGAGAAATTTCTCCATCAAGCTCTCCCAAGGTTATTTTTAGCATGCAAAAATATGAACCTCTCTCTATTTTTTCGATTCCATTGAAGGCACTCAGTATACAACACCGCATACACTAACGCCCCTCGATAAAATTACCCCGGTCAAATTATCTATTCATTTATCATTGAGAAATTTACGTGTAGAACGAGGGGTTAGTCTTTTAAATAGGCCACTTTGACTTGGCATATGAAAATTAATTATAATATACTCATTCCATATAGTTATAACGCCACTTGGACGACAGGCCGGTCGAGATGTCGAGTTAGCTAAACAGCAATGATATTTTGACAAATTTCGAGTAAGGTAGTTCCTAGGCCTCATCGTTATCCCCAGATTCAGAGTAATAGTTTTGATCGTCCTCTTGAGCGTTTGTTCGAGTTTCGCTAGAAGCCTTCATCTCGGTTTTCTGTTGAAGGAGTTTTGTTTTTGCTACTCTAGCCGGGTCGCTTTGGAGACTAATTGCATCCAGGTACTCTGCATTACTGAATGCACTTTGCAGCTGTGGTACATTGGCTAGTATGTCTTCTGTGGACTCAGCCTTTGGGCAGACAAACATGCTTTCGCTATATTCGGCCCAAGCTTCATCTGCATCTTCATCAATGTAAAGATGTGTCTTCCAGGCTTCGGCTTGCGCTGCTGAAATACGCGCAGCTATAGGCATCTCGGTATTACCTCCATTACCACCATCTGTCTGGGTTTTGACGGTCATGTGAACAGCTCGAGCTTCAGACTTTCCTGCAGCGGCTGCGTCTCGTCCTTTAGCTAAGCGATCTTGCTCTATGACGGCGTCGATGTGATGAAATTGCGGGCGCATCTGCACGATATTATCAATAGGAGTGAGGTGGAGTTGGTCTAGATGTACATCAGAATGTCTTGTAGCAGAGAATATAGAAGCATACTCTTCCTAAAGGTCCCAATCATATACTGTGGCGTAGTTTCATCCTTTGAAATTGATTGACCTCCTAGTGTCTGTTTTATAAGTACTTGCTCCTTTTCAACAGCAAGATCGTAGTCTTCTAGTAATAATTCAGGCCTGAGGTCTTCGTCCGCGGCATTGCCGCGTCCTTTACTTCTCGAACTCGGCATTGCTCCTCCAATTCCAAATCCACCTGGTAGTCCATGACTTCCACCACTGTTGGATATGTTACTTTTTTTTAAGGCTACACCCCATTTGACACCTTTCTCCCGATCATAATTGTTATGAGCATCTATCGGAACATCGATCTCAACCATACCAGCCACTGGCTTGACCCGCACTTTCGAGGGTTGAGCGCCAGATGCTGCATTATAGTTTTGTCGCGCATCTCGATTAGGGAATTGTAGAATGTATACTTGGCGATCGGCGGATATTCGAGGCTTCACAAATACTTCGTATGACGCCTTGATAGGATCCGAATCTGAATCCATTGAACACGTTGCTTTATTCCTGCTGGGATTGTGTCGAAATCTCAGACGGTAGGATGGGCGTAATAGTCCTGTGAAGGCAGGAAATTCTGATGGGATATTAGATCGTGTAAATCGCCATCAACAGAGATCAGATTGTACTCTGTAGTTACTTATGCCTGAGCAGTGAAATATCTTCTTTATCCATCTCTGCAAATCTTATGTGGTTCACGTGATAAGAGAACGAAGACCCATACGCACTTAGTGTAATTCAATTTGGACAATTTATGTTACAAAATCCTGAAGCGAGGGAACCGACTTCAACTCGTGATCATACGGACAAAATTATTTGAATACTGAAGTCTAGGAGATTCATGCTTGAACAGCCAGAGATTTTGAAACTGAGCTCTTTTATGTAAACATGGATGAGACTCGTGTGTTCTACGCAAGCATATGCATCTCAGTCTAGACCATCATTTACTGAAATCGAATGAATCATCAAACCTTTTTTTTTTGCATCAGATTTTAATTGCGTATGCAGCTTTCTAGTTATGACACAATATCAAAGAAAATTGCAGAAAAGATGACTCGATTTACAAAAAGAGCTCTCATGCCTCGGGTTTTATTTGCAAGCACCACCGCGAAGTTATGATGGCTTTTATTCACCCCAAGTCAACCCCCTTCCGCGAATACCTTGAAAGGGGTCGCCTCATAACCCTGAGTTATCTAGAAATGCCTTTGTCATCCTATAACTTTTCTCCATGCGAAATGTGGACCGAGTTGCCTCCTTCCGAAGTGGAGTAAGTGCACAGGCTACTCAGACTATACCGCAGAACATCACCAGAAGGCGGACCACAACACCTTCCATCGTCTGCTTATTTTTGTAGTACCAGCTGCAAAGTCGCAAGCGAGGTCTTGACGCGCACAAAGCTCAGTTCGTAAAACTCTTTGCCTGTACTCCAAATTTCACGCCCATAGAGATTATATCCATCATTTGTGTCATCTTGTGAACTTGTCCTGATCTCTTATACGTCCATCTCAAAGAACTGTCTCCTAGATTAGTGCGCCATGTTTTGCTTCCTCCGGCGGATGTAAAAATCAGCATGGGCGAATATTTAGTAGCCAGCTGAGGCCTGAGAATAGTCGATGAGAGTCGTGGACATTGAATTGAGGATGTCCTTGGTCGTAGTTACAGACCAAGTGAGACTTATGTATTAGTTGGTTTCGATGGAAGTGAAGCTTGATGTGGTTGAGAGTTTTAAATTATTGCCTCGTGGGCCAACTTCGTTAGTAATGCGAAATTTGACTGAACATGGCTCTGGGAGAATATTTCACACCCAGGTTCGTAGAGGACACCCCGCACATGTATTCAGTCTTGACCTCCTATAAAAGCTAGAGTTTTTTACGAAAATTTATGCCTAAAAAACTGCACCACACCGATCATGCGGCTTCTGTGGATCGAACACAGTGCCTCCAGATACATGTACTGAGGTTGACTTCAGTCTGGCGCTCTCCCAAGTGAGCTAAAGCCGCTTGAAGTCTCGAGAAAAAAATAATTATTATACTTATTCTTACAAGAGATCTAATTTGATTTGAATGCTACTCCTATCAGTCTTATGCTCTTCACCCAAGGTTTGTGATGTAGCCATTTGGTTTCCAACAGACTCACACAAACATACATGAACAATCCCTGTTGGGCCGAAGAAAATAGAGGAGAACGGATAGAAATTTCGCAGTCATTACGCCCTGCGTGGTATCCGCCTTTCGTACTTACGCTTAACCAAAAAGTCATTATTTATGAAGAAAATCTCCGGTGCTCATTTTTTACTATCCTATAGAATATCCGCATGGTTTTAAGCTTAAGTTAGTGTCTCCCCTGATGTACCATTATCGGGGAATCCTCCGGCCAGAGCACTTGCTCTGCTGGGCCTGAGGCCGTTTTTTTTCGCTAGGCACACAAGTGGATACAGATATCATTAAAGAGAGAGAGAAAGGTCAGGGAATTATTAAAGCTTCGACGGAATTCGAAGAGATGGACATGTAAATCTTGATTAATTATCATTTCTGTAGTAGTAACCCCATTCTCTTTACTTGTGATATCACAGAGATTGACTCTATCACGGCAGTACTGATCAGTGCTTGACTTGACAGCAATCATAGAGAGCTGGGTACTTTATTAAAAGACGACACCATTATCAAGTCCGACTAGGCTGTGACAGGAAGCGACTGGTCGCCCCACAAGTTGTGTCCTGGTAGTGCGAAAACCGAGGCATCGTATCTTAAGTTGACATCATTGTCTCCCAGGAGTCCAAGACCTCGCCAGAATCGATAATATGAGTCAAGCCAAGGCCCAAGAGTTTGAAGGACTTCTACAAGCCGAAGGGGTGAAGCCGCACATTACCAGAGAGAATACAGGAGGAAAGGACAAAGACAGTGAGAAAGTAACGGACCTGAAAATCATCATTGTCTCGTGGATCGACAACTACAACCAAGGCTACATTGACTAAATGCTCCTTACGACCAAATGAAATATAAATGGGATGTGAGAACATTAAACGAACAACCATCGCACGGTAGCTGGTAGCATTGCTTAGAAATAATCACAATAACTTACCCCAGTAGCAGAAAGCGCGAACTCGAATAGATGATTTGACACGGGGTAGAATTTTTGTGACTTGTCTTCAACGAAGGCATACGAAGTGCAGTTAGTGTGATAAATAATAACAACGGTAATGATAATGACGTCGCTTCTGCGGACCCCAAAATCAAGAAGACAACTAAGGGTAAATATGCCCCGCTCAAGGTTGAAAAAGAGGAGGAAGTTCTATATCTCCGTACTCAGGTGATACATGCGAGGATCTCAAAAATAGAATTGATATCTATAAGAAGAAACCAGAGTGGATAAAGAAGGCAAGGAGCAGTATAGAAATTGACTCAGATGATGACCCCGGCAAGGCGTATATCCCGGAGGACAAGACTTAACACCTGTACGCGGTGTCCTCTACGAACCTGGGAGTGAAATATTCTCCCAAAGCCAAGTTCAGTCAAATTTCTCAATATCAAACAAGTTGGCCCACGAGGCAAAAATTCAAATTACTCCACCATGTCAATCTTTCACTCCCAAAGAGTCCGATCCTCAACTAAGCTTCATCAAGTCTACAAGTACGACCTAGTTCATCCTGATCCCAATGACCATACCCCTCGTCGGCTTTCTCTGGCCTCGACCACCAAATACACGCCCACGCCGATATTTATACCCGACGGAGGAAGCAAAGCGTGGAGCACAAATCTGGGAGATAGCTCTTTGGGACGGACTTGAGAGGGATCAGGAAAAGTTCACAAGATGATGCAAAGGAAGGATACTGTTGGTAAAACACGAAGTAATACAAATTGGGTGCCGTCACGAAGTCAGCTGTCCGTCACGAAGTCGGTGAATAATGTCAATTAACTGGTATCTCGAAATACATAAAACGTTGTCTCTTCTTCTTTTCCCTCTGTTACGGGCTGTGCCCAGTTCGGTTAGGCTGGGCTATCTTTCAGGCCCAGCCTTGTTCAAGGACACTAACCAAGTGATCTATAAGAGAGTTTTTCGAGACTCGAATCACTCGGTTAATTATGCTGAGGCTGGATAACAGATTACTCAGTATCAAAAGAATACGTGTCGGGATACTGGATCACTGGTGGCTGTAGCTGGCATATTTAGTTCAAAGGATTTCCTGTAGTAAATTTCTATAGAAAAATATTAACTCTTTGTGGTACTGTTTACGTGCGGTGTCCGTAATTCTCCTCGCCCTTAACACCCTCTCCATCTCCCCTTCCTTCCTCTTCCCCAAGCGCCTCGTTAATGAGCTAAACTAGGCCCCTGTCAGTGCCCTAACGACAACCTGAATACCGCAAATACATAGAATAATTCACACTACCCAAATATGATCCTTTTACCGACAGATACAAACTCGACGGGCGTGTCATTTTGAATTTTGGTAAGAGTTTTACGAGTAGAGCTTTGTGCGCGCCAAAAATTCGCTTACGAGAGTGCAGCTGACACTATAAACACAAGCCAACGATGGAAGGTGTTGTGGTCCGCCTCCTGGTAGTGTTCTCCGGTGTAGTCTGAGTAGCCTGGGCACCTACTTCACTTGGGAAGGAGACATCTCAGATCATATTTCGCGCGTAGGAAAGATAATGGATGACGGGGGTATGTCTGGATAACTCAGGGTGTTTGAGACGTTCCACTGGGTGGGTATTCACGGATGAGGGTTGACTTGGGGTGAAGAAAAAGCCACCATAGCTTCGCAGTGGTACTTGCAAATGAAATCCGAGGCATGAGTGCTCTTCCTTTACTTTGAATCATCTATTCTGTACTTTTCTTTGATATTGTGTCATAGCTAGATAGCTGCATACGCAATTAAAATCTGATGCAAAAAAAAAAGGCGTATATCCCGAATTGGGCAAAAGAGACGCTTGCCGAAGGCACCAATAACTCGAGGGCGCCGACGGATCTAGTCAAACTTTATATTAATTCTCAGGATAAGTTCAGAGCCAGGCATAGTGAAAACCTGTTCACAAACTCGAATCCCATCATTCTGCGAGATACCGCGCATGACTACTACTTCAGACACCACGCTGAGAATCTTAAAAATCTGACTTTGAACGAAATGGTGTGAAAGGACGGGACATAAGCTTCTCGCTGACGTATGCCCAAAATAGATTCTATATTCTATCTAAAGAGAAAGACATCACGGATGGCATTTCATGAATGTAAGCAACTTCGCGTCGCGAAAGGCGAGCCTCCACATATGTAATAATAACGCTTGACCACAAAGATGTCAGCGCTTCGTAAGGGACCGGATAAACTCGGGTTCCAAACTAACATGGCTACAGCCTGTAATAGATGGTTCACAAAATGAAGAGGAGATTCCATGCGAAGACACAAAAGCAACTTTACCTGACAGGATGAAGAGCTCTTATTCTCGTGAAGGTAATTAAAGAGAATCTGGTCAAAATAATCCTCAGATTTCTCGACCTAAATATCAAAAAATTACAGAAAATTCACGAAGCTCCTAGGCTTAACTACTGTCGCAAAATGTACAATCTCGCTGAGTAGCTGTACGTCGCGTGCCAAGGCGTTTCAGCTTGGGCATAAGCACTTATCTGCCCCCACGACAGGTTTGAAGGTAACTGCGCTGAGCTACTGTCTACTATAAAGGTTCATATAGACTGTACACCGTATAATGCAGGATAGTTGCATCTGGCAGAGGAATACTTTAATGGTGGAGAAATTGATACGAACCGTGCTTTGTCGACCTTAGGTGCGGTGGAAGAGTAGGCGATATCCAAGATAGTCCCAGGATTGGACTTAAAAGAGGATTTGGTCTTAATAACGACCATTAGAAATATTGCCTCGTGTGCAAAAAGGCGGGATATAGGTCCATACGGCACAAACCAAGCGAACGTCAAGGAATAATCAAAAGCTGACGGACGTACATGGCGGAGAATGACCTCCCTAATGATAATAATATCCTGGGCATTTTTTTTATAGGCTATGAAGGCTAAAATGGGAACCAAAACGATGATGAGAGTAATCTCATCGACATGTTCAGTACATGATCGGAAGACAAAACCGAGTAATTCCACACGTTACTTGACCATCCATGGATAGAATATGACTGTCCTGCTCAACGATCAAGCAACCACATATGTTCTGACAGCTAACGATCTATTTAAGTGGGCTCAATCAGAGCCAAGATCCATTTTTCAGTTTCACAGTCGTTACGATTCAGAAATCTTCCACGGGATTTTACTCAATGCAGGAGCGCCAGGAGTGCGGAAAACCGGAAAAAACCAAGTCAAAAATCTTCAAAAAACACCCTAGAGCTCGAAATAGATACTAGGACAGCAGGCGCCCATTGTAAGATTTTTGGTGATATCCCCCACGTGGCGACCCTGGGAACGGTCGATGTGAAGGTCTCGTTTGCCAAAATCACATTTACAGTCGTTCAAGCAAACACTTTATCTTTGTTTTGCCTAATAGACATGGATAGATACTGTGTTTGTTGATAATACGTGAGACGTACTCGTGCATACGAATAAAAGTGCAAGCAGGAGATATACTCTATTATGCGTAAATGGGGATACTCTTTCTTCCTTCTTGATCTAGAAGCCAGCGCAGAAGCATGGTACCTAACTAAAGCCGAGCTCCAGCAGCTCCACAGACGATTTGGTCATCCAGCCACAGACCAACCCAGCAGGCTACTCTCGCGCTCAGGATGTAAAGAATTTAACGAGGATAGCTTGAAGCACGTAGACAAGTTATATCACGAATGCCAGATTTATTAGAAAGTACCTGTGCGTTTCCGCTCCACGTTGCGAGAAGGCATGGACTCCGATATTCGCTTCATCGCTGATGTCATGTATGTAAACGGTAGGCCAGCCCTCCGTGCAGTCGGCGAAGCCACTGCGTCTCAAGCAGCAAGTATTCTAGCGAACACGACTTCCAAGACGACTTGTGAAACTCTGCAAGCTATGTGGGTTGAAACCTACCTTGGATTCCCAGACTTCATCATCACGGATGCAGGAACCAATCTGAAAGCCGGTGAATTAGTGATGAAGCTTGGTTGCTAGTCATCAAGATCAAGAAAGTCCTTGTTAAACCACATCACTCGATCGGCAAGGTCGAGAAATACCACGGGTCGGTAAAGCGATGAAATAGAATCTCGGCAGTCAAGGTACAAAACGTGGTAGAAGAGTATATCTGTTACAGACTTAGAGCCTCGTAGGGTCAGAATGGGACTTATCCGATTCCACTTGTAGAGATTGTTCACGTGAACTCATTGGATAGTTAAGCTAGGAGTGACTCATGCAAGACTTAGTAGATACTCAATTATGTAGTTCATGTAGTTTTTTCGTTATACAGAATATAAACCTTTATTTTTGGATTCACCTGCGCGAACAAGCAATCATGATTAGTCCTCTCACAAAATCCTTCAGATGGCTCTGAAAGCGGCTGACGATACAGCAAGCTTGAGGCTAAGCGACAATTGGAAAATGCTCTTGGCATGCAGAACGGGCCCAAAATTCTTGATAAACTACAGCTCCCTCTCACAAGCGGTGTTCGTATGTGAAGGGAAGGTAGCGAATGGACTGGATCTAACAAGCTTCTCGCGCGGATCGAAGACGATACGGCATGTACCGTCGAGGTTAACAGTCCACCTATGACCTTCTGGATTACGTCAGTCAAGCCCTAGTATCTGCAACGGCTACTGAGTCGATAATTATACTTAATCATGTGCTCCAACAGCTCTGTGAAACTGAGTTTTTCATGACGGACCAGTCTGGACGTAACTAGAGAAGACTTGAGAATAGTATCGGACAAGAAGAATATTCCAGATAATATAGTGAGGGTATAAGTAGTTGAAGTAGGACGTATACAGAGAGCCACAGAGAAGAGAATGAACTACCTTTGTAGATCTGATCGGTCAGTGGGAAAATACACTCTATACGATATTATATGGAGATATATGAAGCAAAGAAGACTTGACATATCGCAACTATGGGAGCATTGGACCTATGTATACGGCTGTGGAAAAAACCCCCACTAGTCTTGAGTGCCTGTCCAACTTAGTAATGACGGGCCAACTCTCATCTTCCATGATGAGTCAAGGTGCACTGCAGCACGTATTAATATCCCAAAGTGGATGCAACATTAGGTGTGGTTAGTGGGCTCGGGACATGCGCAGAGAGACGCGACCTTTTCGGGAACGTGAGACGAAATAGATAACGAGTGAGTCCTAAATTCGAGAGTCAGAATTTCCAACCATCTATTTTAATTTATTCTTCATAAATTGTTATGCTCAGCTATGTAGTATGGTAGATCTAGTAGCTGATGAATAGGTAGTTATAATGGCAGTATGGCATTATAGCGTATGAAGGAAATCCAGTCTCTACATAACAGCACTACAAGTAGTACTGTTTACAGTCTGAGAGAAGGGTTACTGATGTAAGATAAATGGTATAGCTGCTCAGTTGGGAGCAAACTTTGGTGTGCTGCATACTGGTTACGTGATCGGTCTACAAGCGAACAAGCTAGGGGATAAGGGACGAGCTTCCCCCAATCTGTAACATAATAATCATCATAGTAACTTCACTTCTACACATCAATGAAGATATCTCTCCACAAACTATCTTAGCTGTTCCAGCGCAAGTGTACATTCCCAAATCATATACCAATCATAATATAAATCCCTCTTTAGTACTCTGACATCCATCTTAGCTTGTGTTTGGTTACGGTAGCATGGAAACGGGCAGTTGCGTGAGAGGAAAGACTGCACAAACGCATCACAAAACACCATGACGGCAAGTTGCTGCAATCGAGACGGGTAGCAATACGTAGCGATGCCGAACTTCAAGCTGTACGGGATTCCATAACCAAGTTGTACGCTGCTCTTGTCGGTTTGGGAGGAAACGCTGCAGGCGTTGTAGTGTAGGTGGTTAACACCATTATGAATGCTGTGAAGCTGCATCGGTCGTAGTTGGAGGAGACCTCGGGCAAAACTACTCCCATTCAGGAGAGATTTCTGCCTCTGGAGGAAGCCATTATAAAGGTTTTCAAGGTATCGCGGTTTGACCGTGGTTTAGCTCAGGTGGAGGCCTAAGCGGAGTTGGAGGCGCAGTGGTGAGAGTGTTGCACATTATCTTGTACCAAACGCCTTAGTTTGACCTCGCCACATCACATTGGGGCTGCGAAGGGATGTGAGACGGCGAAGCGCAATGGTCAAGTGAGGGAGTCGAACTAGGTAGCGAAGTAAGGTAACGACGGGCAATGGCGGAGCAATATGTCATGCTGACCAACGGAGCACGTAGTGGATGGATTGGAAAGGCGTACAAATATCCATTACCAGTAGTCGTGTTACTTTTCTCCCCATATACTTTAATCTTTCTAAAAGTACACTACAACCAGCTTGCTCTCTTCACACATGGGGTGAGTCGTCAATCTACTAACAACCCAACACTGTTTGGAAAAATCGCATTCCTATCCCATCATGGCGGTGCCATTTGTAACGAGATCTGCTATCCTACCGTGAGAATATAAAGCAGACGATACGCAACAAGACCAACTTTTATTAATGGTCCAAATATAGATTGTTGCATCCTAAGCTTTCGAATAGATGAAGAGCCAGGATACCGATGTCTTTGTGTACATAACTTCCCAGCGTAACGCGACCCTCAACATGCCGCAGCCAGATGACTTCAAACTACTGTGCCAGGGTCAATTTCAAGGAACGGACTTCAGATCAGACCAGGTGATATTGCCCATTTTAGTGAGGGTTCACACTATAAATATCTCTTATTACTTTTTAGACGTCTTTCCTCTTTGTGCATAATCTAATCTGAAGTTCACACGTTGACGACGATAGGGTTTGGCTTGACACGAGGAATATTGTATCATTACAACCAAGAATGAATTCGGCATGGATGAGCGCAAAGTACACGGTACCGAAACTTGTCTCATTTAACGTTGTCGAGCTGAGTATTCCATCTAAAATTTGGGCCCATTTTCATATCGACTAGAATATAAGGGCTAGCATTGATCCGCTTCCCGCTCTTATTCTGGTTAGAAGAGTGATCTAAAAACTGAACAATTTGTGGAGTAAATCCAGAGAGCTAATAGTATGTGCTGTGGGGTTGACATCGTGAGACGATTGCTAGTGAAGTGTAAAGGATTTGCAGGACCTGCTTGGGAAAATTGAGCTAACGTAGAGGATGCCGAAGCTTTAGTCATGTTTGAGGCTAAGTTGGAAAAAGGATTTGGAGTTGGAAAGATGAAGATCCTCATCAAAATCACCAATAAACCGAAGGCAATGTAATTCTTTGGCTTTATCCATTAACTATTGATTGGGCTAGACTCCGTGCCCATTGTAAATATAATCAGGATTTGGTCATTAACCTTACCTTCTTCATCGAGTAAGACTCCATGAGAGCGTTCATATGGGGTGATTTCCAGGGTGCAGATTATGTCGGTATTATCCACATCTGCAGCAGTCTGTTCTATAGAAGATTATTAATTAATAGGTAGTGGGTGCATTGGCTGTTATCTCTAACCGTTCACACTGTCATTGACAAGGATAGTAATCGTGTATAAAGAAGCTCTAATAATTCTCCACATTCTTTAGCTTACAACTAACTGAAAATAAACTGTGGCCATAAGGTTATCTCTGTATTTATATTCAGATTATGACGCTGGCCTAGTGTTAGTAGTCTTTTCTACCTCATATACTTGGGTAACGGTACTAATGACGTTATCATGCTACAACAGTGTTCCAGAATATTGACCAATCAGTCCAAGAACTTCTCCGCTAGCTTTAAGCTATTTAATGATAATCTGTGTTTTAAACTCAACGCTTAAGCTTAGAGTCAACTATTCCGCAAATTATTATAATTTTATGAGGTTCAAGAGTTTGGTCACGTTAAAAGTGTCTGATTATATTCGAATGATGTAAAATTTGAATAATTCATTAGTAGTTGAACTGCTTTCGACAAAGCGGGCAAGTACTTTGGTTACTAGACTTAAACCATTGGAACAGACATTTGGAATGAAAAAGATTATGGCAAGTACCACACCTTTTATCAGGAACCTTTCGGTCCGCCGACATGATACAATAGCAAATTGCACACTCGACATGCCCTTTAAGCACCCCTGTTATATTCTTGCGGAATATAAGAAGTGCGTCACTAATAGAACCGTTCTAGAACACTAGTTAATTACTCTTCAAAACTTGGAGTAGAGGTAGATCTTGCCGAAAAGTTAATTATTCCATGAGTTGTCATTATAAAGCTGTTCCACTTTTGTTCGGATATCCCTACACGGCTCACGCTTTCGATTTGGACCAACCCTAGAGGAAAATCTTCCGGTATTCGAATTCGAATTTCCATGACCATTTCATCTATTTCATAGCTAGCTGAGACCTCACTGACTTTTTTCGCTACCTTGATGATTAATTCTTTTTCACCATCGAGAGATTTCTGATCCTTGGCCCAGGCGGTAACTTCATCAAGCTCCTCTTCCACAAGAAGAGGTGATATGAGATTTTTGGTCCACACGCAAACATTATTTCTTGTTTGCTTTTTGGTATTTAACCACCAGCTTTTCCCAATACTTGGCGCGTACTTTAGTGCCTGAAAATATAGGCTGACTAATATCCAAGTGAGGTCATTTTGGAAATTGTTATTATCGATAGAGGATTGCAAATCGTATTTCCGAATTTTCATAGTTGTTAAGTTCTCTTTTTTAATGTGGATTCGCCCGTCGTCATACTGACCCAGTGTGTCAAAAATGAAGTCCAATAGGGGCCCTATGCATTTTTGGGACTGCAAGATGTCGTTAAATTCGCTTCGAACTTTAAATGAAGATGCTGCATACATCTCAAAGATTAGCAGCCAAGCAAGCAAGTAACTTCGTGTAGATGCCATGAACTTTAAGGAGGAATCACTCGTAAGTTCTGATATCAAATTCAGGTCAAAGCGGTCCGGGGTAGTAATAATAAAAGATAAAAGCTCAGGTGGAAATTCCACAGCTAAAACATATTAGGGAGTGTTTTGTCTACGGGAGTCATTTTATATTACCTTTATTTTCAAGAACATGATCGATTGAAATTTGCTGTTGTAGATTTGGCAAGCATTTTTGTATAAGTACAAACGCGGATGATTGGATCCAATAATTTTCTGATGCCAGTAGTGGATAAAATACGTTAAAATCCTCAATTTCCTCGGTTGGGATACTAAATATCAACTGAGCAAGTGTCTTATCGACTTCTTGGAGAGGTTTATGGGTTGCAGGCCTCTCCAGGAATAAAAAGTCTAGGAGATGACATATATTTTTTTTGTCATGGTCATGGAGAGCTTCTATAAGATCATCGTTTGGGTCAATTATATTCTTCATCTCCGAAAAAAGCTTCAGAGATGCCGATATTACAGCAAGATTCTCGTTGCAAAGTGGTGTGGTTTTTTGTTTGGTCCAGATCGAGTCACAATATTGTAGAGTTGCCTCCCAGTAAGAACCATATACATTCTTAATAGATGGTAGAAGTCTTCGAAGCAATCGGCAAACCTCTGATGCTATCCTAACGTCTGTAATTTCTTTTAACCAGGAAACTACATGTTTGACAGCAAACACCAGTCGATTTTGAACAACAGGTAACTCTTCGCCATCATACACACATAGACATGCGTTTAAAAATATTAATTTCTCCATTGTATCCTCAGAGTTCAATGCTATTGTAGGAACATTGCTAACGAGGTGATTGCATAGATTTCTGATAACTTTACTCGATTTTCCACGCTGGCCTAATCCAATTAAAATCGCAACGGCTCCCATTATATTAGTTGTAGAAGGTTTAATCACATCAAGAGTTGAGATCCAATCTTCGAGAAGATCTATACTGCAGTGTAGTTCTTCGAGTAAAGTATTCAAGACGCGTATCAAGGCTTTGGCTGCGAAAAATGATTCTGTTTGACGAAGCTCGCAAGTTTCCAGGAAACCGAGGATTAATCTCTCCATGATTCTTCTATGACTACCAAGCTCATTGGAGTTGAAAATTTTACATTCATCTTTTGTCTTATTTTTTCCCGTTGTTACGTCGCTTTGAACTTCAGGCCATCCAAGAGCCTTCCTAGCAAATTCATGCAGAAGGCTGTTTGTTTGAGATAAAAAATGAGAAACGAGGTTTAACCCAGGTTGTGAGATCTCCGAGCCCATCAAATAATCATTTTGAAGATATGAATCTAAAGAAGTTACTTCACATGTGAGTATAAGAGCTTTGAGAAGATTCATTTGGGCCCCCATATTTAGGCCTTCGCAAAACCACTGGAAGAGTTCTGCCGTGAAGATGGCATTACGAAGTGGCATTGTGGACAAATGATAATCCTCAAAGGGTGTTCTTGTAGTCTCTTTTACAATAGAATCGCCAAGAATAAGATAGGAGATGCTGCCAAATTCAGATGATGATGCAAATGCAGAACAAGGTAATTTATCTAGAGACTCAGTCAAAGAATCAAGCCAATCTTCAGTATTTGGCAGTAGGCGATTCTGTAAACCTGACTCCAAATTTTTTTGGATTAGTTCTTTAGCTTCATCGATCAGATATCCAACACTATTGATTAGCGTTATAGACATCACAAAAAGAGGTGGGGGCCTTACGAAATTTTTTGTAAACTTATTTCTTTCTGATTCAAGTCGGTCAATATTAATCGCGACGTCGAATTTAAATAACTCTCGCCCGTAATTTTAGCCATAAGTGTCTGTACTAAATCAAAAAGTTCATCATCGATTAAGTGCTCGAGTGAGAGTTTTTCTTTGATTGATAGCAGTCTCATGAGGATATCTAAATGTTTATCATTCTTTTCATCCACCAAATAATGCATATGATTATTCAATAGCTCTATGACATATATTATACCATTGTAATCATTATCACTATCCAAATATTCCATCATGAGGTCTCTTATTTTAATGGCTGAAGACTCAGAAAGAGCTTCAAATTTAAACGCAGTGATTACGAGGGGCTCACTGCATGGCTTTCCAAGTGCAAGAAAATTAATTTGTTCCATAATAAATGTCTGTAAGCCTTGATGTTTTTGAGCGAAGGGGGCCACTACTTTATCTGCAATCAATTTGGCAGCAATATTGAGATGGCAAGTCACTGATGGGGTTCCAGTAGAGGGAATTATAAGATCAACGAGTCTCATCCAGGTAGATTCGAAGTGTTTTTCTAGACCGCGTAGAGTGGGTAGCTGAAAAATTATTTTAATAAGAAATTCTCCAGATGCGGAATCGAGAAGTTTGGGTAAATGAGTCGTAACAATTTTTTCAACAATGGCTAGACCGCGAGCACTAGAAGTAAACATAGTAGGTGAGAGGGAAATTGAAGTTTCTAGGATCTTTGCAATTTGATATGGCTCCCCATTATTGTTGATCATAATCGGAAGCGCTTCCTGTATAATCTCCTCTGATTGTGAGAACAATGGATCAACATCATTTACATAATCGCGATCGCTCTCATGATGTTTCAAAGCTTCCGCTAATAGATTGAACCAAAGTTCACCAAGAGCTACAACTAAGCTTTGATTTGGATTGTCATGTTCTTTTTGACTCCCAGGCAAGGTTTTCATTTTTTTTATAAACTCATTACTCATCAGCTTCCACTCATCAGCGAAAAGAGACTCATTCTTAATATGCCGCAAGCAGATGTTGTACGCCTGTACAGCAGATTCAACATCAACATCAGCATCAATAACTATGCTTTCTTGATGGTTCTGGTGACTGGCTGGTTGTTCCGATATAAGGAAATTATTGAAATACTTGTGAAATATTGGAAACAGCGTAGACTTTGAAAGGCAGTATTTAGAGTCATTATTTGTTAAGCAGTTAGTTAAGATTTCAGCTGTATTTAAATAGCAATTCCATGCATAGTTCCAGTCTTTAGTTATGATTTTTCGTCGAGAGATCCCAGACACTAGATTTTGGAGAAGCTCGATAGCTCCCTCAAGACTGTGCGGGAGAACCTGATGGGGTAGGGCTTGAATGAGCCGCTCTAGTGATATCCAAAAATTATTTGACTCAATCCGACATCCAGCTGCCATAAGAGCCTTGAGCTCTGAAAGATAGTCTTTTGTAGCAGCTTTGCGAGCTTTTCTTTTACTATGATTTACCTCCCATATCTGTGGAAATTCTATTGTTACGATCTGAAGAGCATCAAGAATTGCAGAAGCAGTGCCTTGTTGTGGTGTTAGTAGTGCTTTGGCAATAAAAGCCCTGGATATGATATCAAGATTACTTGATACAAGATGGCGCTGCTTTTGGCAACATATAGTGAGCAATTCGGAAACTAGTCTGCATAGACGACCATCTTCCCGGGTCACTAGGTTCCAAGTTTTTTTGTCCAGTAAAATTCTTTCGTAATTCTCCTGGATTTTACTGATTTCCACTACATCTAGAGTCCGTAATAAGTCGATTAACAGTGAGATAGATGACCCAAGGACAGCGTAATATTTGGCCAACATATCCTCTTTACTGATCAATCGCTCATCACTTAGTGTTTCGGGGCTTTCCTGAAGCGCCTTGTAAATATAATCAAGTGCGGATGCCTGGTGCCAAGCATAAAAGGCTACACGTTTTTCTTTGGTCTGTAACAGTAAATCTAGTTTTTTGGAGACATTTGATGCCACGGCACGATCACGATCAAATTGACCAGCAAGCCAGCTACCCACAAATTTTGAAGCACGAGCTGACATGCGCTTTCGTGACGATCTCAGTAAATCATGCAGTATTGTATGTGAGAGATCGCGAACCGTTCGATGGGAATCTATGGCCAACTGAGGATAAATCTGGACCTGAATTGCCATTAGCTGAGATCTGTTCATGAACTTCAAAATGCAAAGAGATTACCCAGGCCTGAATAACCGCAACATCGACCTCATTTTTTTCCGTTATTTGTGCATTTATATGGAAATGTAGGTCCTGCAAAGCTTTTGACCTTGTAGTATCGTCCTTTCTACTAAGGTTTTTGAACGCAACAACTATGTGAGGACAGTCAATTCCAGAGAGGTCGATATGTTTTGTAAGGTAAGATAATGAGCTGCTATGTGCTCCACTCCCAAATCCTTCATGACCTGAAATGGCAACACGGCTACTAGATGCTTGAGTCTTAAATTGACCTTTACTCATGGCGATATCTCAGGATTAAGGACTCGTGTTTGGCCGTAAGAGGTTTTGGCCAGCTCACTTTGAAATTTAAGGCACTCGAGGCCTTGAAGCCCGCGACGTATTCGAATAGTAGCTTGGTAACTATCTCTCAAGAAATTCTAATTTTTCTAGACGACTGGAAGACGCGAAATATCATCCGTCGTGCTTCCAAGACTCAATTAAGCCTTGTATGCTTACTAATCGGTTATTTGAAAACCGTTGGAACTCGATCCATTGTTGGCGTTTAAGAAGCAATCGCAAGATACTGTCGGCCATTGTTTCTTTTCAAGGGATCGCGAGGGCCACAAATTTACATTGAGGGGGTGTTTTAAAGATAAGGTTTACTGTGGTGGTTAACGTTCCACCACCTGTTAGCAGGGCTACATACCAACCTCCAGATCTCACCGTAAAGTCTGCAGGGCCCAGTTTGGGTGCAACACTGGTTAAGATGGCCTCTACAGTCAATAATTCTGCAGTCATTTCTGATACCCAGCTCAGCGCTCAGAATTTGGGATAGGCTGGTATTAAGCATATATTCTCTGTCGATGCTTTCCTACCATTTCAGCACAACTGATTCCTCGCAAGGGACGAATTATGGTTAACATTTAGAGGAGGCTAGGAATATAAATTATAAATTTTAATTTTACATGTAGGTCGGCAGCGCCAACATAGCCAGCCTCAGCAAACACTTCATAAGGGTAGCTACATCTTTGAACATAATCTGAATACAAGTGATAGAGGATCCCGCAACCTGTGGTTTTTGTAAGTTTTCCCGGCAACCAAATACCTACAACAATTTCGGTTCATTAGTTAAAAGTGTGAATTCACGAAAGTGCAAAAGACTCCTATAAGCGTATGATGTTATGCAGACTTAAGAGAGGTACGACTGTTTTTTCCTATTAATTTGTTGAAGTATCAGTCACTGAGCCTTAGAAGGCATGTGACTTGATTTGTAAGCTGGGCTAAACTAGAGTCTGTAGAAGTATCGTAAATGTAGAACTCAGTAGTCAGTACAATAATATGCGTAATAAGCTTTAGGCATTTACCAGCAGTACAGTTTTCTAACCATATCTTCCTTCAATATAAATCTTACATCCTATATAAGTCTAAGACTATTAGAAGGTAGTACTGTTGTAAGTGAACTATCTAAGAAGCCTGGGGGAGGATTCACTATACAGCACAAAGTCTTTGTATACTTTAGAAATCAGATTGCACGGAAGGTATTATACAATATTTAGAATAGATGTGATAAGGTACAGTAGTTGTAGAGTGATGTGCAAGATTCATTAACTGAGGATGTGGGAGGCTTTTAATCGATCAACATAATAAGAATCACTTCTTAAACCATAGCTATCCTCAGCATCTTGGCGAAGAGATCTGACATGACCCAAGGAGTCAACGACGTAGAAAATGCACAATGGTGCCAGAAAACGATAAACTACGCCTGTCATCAATGCAGAACCTCCTAGACCACATCCGATTCCTGGGGAATGAGTTGATTAATTATTGAAGTCATCTACGGTGCTTACACCCTACCGATTTTGGAGGATAGAGACTGAAGACCTATCTAATGTGTTTTCTACGAACCTGGGAGTTTAATATTCTCCCAGGGCCACGTTTAGCCAAATTTCGCAATATCGAACAAGTTGGCCCACGAGGCAATGATTCAAAATGCTCAACCACATCAATTTTCACTACCGACGAAATCAACTGATACACAAGTCTCATCTGGTCTACAAGTACGACCAAGTACATCCTCATTTCAATGACCACAACTCTCATCGACTATTCTCAGGCCTCAGCTGGCTACTAAATATACGCCCATGCTGATTTTTACATCCGCCGGAGGAAGCAAAACATGGCGCACTAATCTAGGAGACAGTTCTTTGAGATGGACGTATAAGAGATCAGGAAAAGTTCACAAGATGATACAAATGATGGATATAATCTCTATGGGCGTGAAATTTGGAGTACAGGCAAAGAGTTTTACGAACTGAGCTTTGTGCGCGTCAAGACCTCGCTTGCAACTTTGCAGCTGGCACTACAAACACAAGTCAACAATGGAAGGTGCCGTAGTCCGCCTCCTGATGGTTGCCTCCACTGTAGAATAAGTGTTGGAAATCAAGACTTAGCATGTATGAAGGTTTAGATTTCTAAGTATGATCATCAAGATTAATTGAGTTGATTCGATTGAATATGATTAAGCTCATTCAGGCGAAATAAGTTTCAGTGGCTAGGAAATGCTATCTTGTTGATAATTAAGTGGCTGGTTGTTGTTAGATCACTGGGAGTTTGGGATCACTAAAGTCTCGGGGATCTGTATCCAAGAATAGACTCATCTGTGTATGTAAAGCTATGTTAACGAAGTATTATATATTATTAATTCATATTGAGAAGAGAGTTCGATATCATATACAACTATCAATAAAATCTTGTCCGAAATTGTACACTTGTTCTTCGAGATATTTCCTCCTAGAAATCCTTGACAATTCCTAACAAAAAATAGTCTGGGAACCCACTCCACCTGGGAAGGAGACGCCTCAGACCACATTTCTCGCGGAGAAAATTCAGTAGATGGAAGCATGTCTGGATAATTCGGGGTTTTTAAGTTGTTTCTCTGGGTGGGCATTCATAGATGAGGGCTGACTTGTTGCGAAGAAAAAGCTACCATAACTTCGCAGTGGTATTTGCAGTTGAAACCCGAGGGATGAGTGCTCTAGTTGTGAATTGAGTCATATATTCTGTACCATTTATCTGATACCAGGTTACAGCTAGCCAGCTAGTTACACACGCAATCAAAATCTGATGGAAAAAAATACAACCAATTATAAAATTTTCATCCCATTTTTTATTCAGGCTTCTAGCTATGATGCATGGTCAGTACTAAGTGTACATTTTCAAAGACTCACTTGACGCTAGAGACACTCATAATCCGAATTTTATATAAAAATAACACAATGAAGTATTTTTTTACACTGCAGTCGAGCCTCCTCCATGAGTATCCACCGAAAGGACGTTAAAAACCTTTGATTACTCCAGTATACCTTCGTGATCCATGCATAGGACCACGGCGAGAAGCGTGGTTGGTTTTTTCTGGATTCAAACCAGCGATCTCCTGTCTCAAAAAAGGAATTTGTCCAAGCTATCCAGAATCTACTTGGTAGGCAGGCCTAGATAATGTATCACCGTAAGATTCAACCTTGGCGCTTTTTAGAATGCTATCATCATTCTCACTGTGGGTGGATTGGGGCGTACAATATTCAATGTTGTTAAACTGTAAGAGTGTTGGTCAAACATAATTCTCCCTGTGCCTTAACATAATGGAGTTATGGTTGTGATTATTGATTACCCAAGAGTAAAATAGGTCAGGCGTTAGGAGATTTTATATACCCTGTATTAGTAGTTTCATATTAGCGTGTAGGCGAGGCTGGTAGACACATATTAGTAGGAGCATAGTCGCAGCATTCCAAAATGCTGAGAGAGCAGAGTAATATACACGTTCTGTAAACCCTATACTTTAATTCTACTTCCAGTACCATTGTATTACCCGTCTAAAGGTATTAGATTCTAATAAATGTGATATAATCATTTCCATATATAAAATCTTAAACTCTTAAAATATTGTATCTATTCCATGTATCATCTTGTCTTTCTGTCCTAAATTCTCTGGATTCAACTTCAAAGAAATGGCTACCAGATTTGTTTCCTCCGGTGCATACAAAATTCGGTGCTGGATTGTATTTATTGGCCAGCTGAGGCTAGAGAATAGTCGATAAGAGGTGTAGCCATTGGAGTGAAAATGTGATAGATCGTACTTGTAGACTGGATGAAGATTTGGTGGTAATTGATCTTGGTAGAAGTAAGATATTTACGGCAATGCGTCTCGAACCATCGGCTCCTCGGCAAGCTTCTTTAATTCTGCTTCATTTTACTAAGCTTGGCTCGGGGAAAACGTATCACTCCCAGGTTCGCAGGAGACACCACGGACAAGTGTACTTCTCTTTTCCTTTGACACATCACCATTGCGTACGACGAAGTCTGAGATTAAGAGAGCGTTAGTTAATGATTCCTTGTCCACCATATCCTGCCGGTCATGCATCTGGCAACGACCTCTCGTGACCTGTAAACCCGAGTCACGCCTTAACTTTGCAGGCTAAGTCCTGTCACGCTAAGATTTCAAGTGTAACCACTATGATTTGACCGTGGTTTAGCTTTGCTCGAAAACTAGGCTGGGCGCGGAGAGTGTCTGTAAAACAAATCGCTAAGGAATTGGCACTCTCTGCACTCTCATGGAAGCTTAAGCAGGAGTGGGGCCGGACTGGACCAGGTTGACTACCATTGACAACTTCAGCCTTGACCCACTTGGATGACGTGACCAGCTCAGACTTCACCCGTGTGTTGAATTGTGCTTAGTCCGGCCGTCCAGAACCCCGCTATGTACACGACGTAGCGTAAATCCCATCTTGGCATCAGTCGCATCGCACACCAGCCCTTAACGTATACCTGATCACAACTCTTATCTTTCTTTTCAGCACCAGCTTTACATCGTCCCAAAAGTTTCTTGTCTCGTACATAGATTTTCTTAGTGCTTGAAACCTGCTCCGTTTCGCTTTGCCTTGGTAGTCTATTTTATTATCTTCTTGTTACGTACATCAATCTCTTCATCTCGGGAACTATGAATACTGTCGAAGTTCCCGACTTGGCCTCGCCGCTGACGATCAATGGTGGAAGCTAAATTTGTGATTTAGGACTTTTTTTTGCATCAGATTTTGATTGCGAATGCAACTATCTAGCTATGACACAATATCAAAGAAAAGTACAGAAAAGATGACTCAATTTACAAGAAGGGTACTCATACCTCGGATTTCATTTGCAAGTACCACTGCGAAGATATGGTGGCTTTTTCTTCACCCCAAGTCAGCCCTCATCCGTGAATACCCACCCAGGGGAACGTCTCAAATACCCTGGGCTATCCAGACATGCCTCCATCATCCGTTCACATTTCTCCGCGCGAAATGTGGCCTTAGGTGTCTCTTTCCCAAGTGCAGTAGGTGCCCAGGCTACTCAAACTATACTAGAGAACACCACGATTTAGGACTTAAGGCTGACGAGCCGATGCCCTGAATTTTTAGAACACTCTGGTAAGCGTGCAGACAAAAGTTCGCGTCCGCTCCTTCAATAGCAATTCGTTGGAGATCGAGTAACTTTTACCCCTGCCCGAGATAAGTACGTACTAAAGGCTTGTAAATTGAGCGTGTTAAAGATTGAATCTGTCCATATCTCTGAGCCTGATGATGGCCAACAAGATGAAAAATTACAAGGCCTGACATGTAAAGATCCGAGGGCGAGAAGAGCTTAACTAAGAGACCAAGCCAATTTAAATTGGTGTGATTAGTCTACAATAGGTATGGGCATTGTGGATGTAGGGGAAAACATTGCCATGTAAAAGTGAGGTCGAGTGTGCACTATATAGGTACACGTGTCATATCCTTGTCCATCATTACTGATCCCCGCACTGCCATAAACACCATACGGCTCTGTTATCCCTCGCAATCCAAAGTAACAACATGAGTTACTATCATACGGCACGCTTTTACGGATCGATAACAAGCGGGTCATTTTAGCAGATCGGACCCTCAAACCACGTGACATTAGCGGGGGGCCGGAATTTTATCCGCATTTTTTATTTGGCGTATTGAGTTTTTATGTTTTAGAGAGCTTCAATAGACGGTGGGATAGTTGTTGAGGGGATTGAAAGCTGGGCTTGGCTTCGGCTTAACTTATTGAGAAATGAAGGTTCTGAATAGTATCAGCCGCTTTTATTGCAGGCTGCCTACAGGTTCGAGCCCGCCTGCAGTTCAGAATTGTGGTGGGAGTAGAAGTAATTATTTATGCGGCCGCGAAGTCTCAGCTGATGGATTTTTAAACAAAGACGGGCAAGCACCACTCCTTCCGATCGCCATCATGTCGAAAACTTTCATGTTCACCGGTTATGGTGATTGATCCTTGATTCTGGCGGGTAGTTAAGCAACAGCTTCGTGCTGGAGACTACGGAGAGGTGTGGGAAAACTGAATGATTGAATCCCTGCGCCAGGCGATTAATCGCAACGGCGCTAGTCTCACATCAGGCTTGAAATTAGATTAGATTTACTAAAAAGTCCTGAGTCCAAGACTATGGAGGACTTCTAGTATCTTTTTGATAGTGTCTAGCTACATCGAAGTATTTTTAATAATCAATTCAACTTGTCTTCTCATGGACAGTGAGGGCCATTCCCAGGCTTGAAAGAAATGCCAGGCAACTGATCATAGTGGCCAAGAAAGATCTCCAAGCCAGTTGGCTACAGAAGGTCACTAAAGGTAATGACGGTTGAATCATCTATTCTGTACTTTTCTTTGATATTGTGTCATAGCTAGATAGCTGCATACGCAATTAAAATCTGATGCAAAAAAAGGTAGTGACGAATTAAGGCCATAAGCTTATCAGTTGGGTTTGGAATTATTGAGTGAAGGGAAATTATACATAGCCATTATCCATAATTTTATTTGGTCTCTCATCACAAAGTTCAATTTTGCATCGAGTTCCTCGTCATCAGGCTATCTATGCCAGTTACTCGGTAGATAGGACACTAGCTTGAAACCTCATGAACTTTACCATGCCGGACTCGGTGCTCGACCATTGGGATCTTCGAAATAAGTTACTCATCAGTGAAGGGGAATCATAATAAATGTAAAGGCTAATTAGATGAGTCGTATGTGTGTTTAATATGCTAGGGCTCAACAGAAACTTGGCTTTAATCTAATGTAATTGGCTCACTAGACATCTGGAGACCTAGGGCTATTTGAAGATGATGCATGGGCCATTTCAGCGACAGTGTTTTTAACTTTAGAAAATGAGGAATTTCGATGGTGGGAGAATTGAAGTAAAAATACGAATGAACCAGAAAAAAATTTATTGATACCAGCAACTCAGCGTTGAATATGTAACTGCGACTAATAATAACTACAACTCCCATTGACCCATCAATCCCTCGAATTTCCTACCATAGGGGCCAAAGTTTTGCTCAAAGGCCTTCTTTAGCACGCTGTTGCTGAGTTCCATGTGGGAGCCAGGCGATGTTTCGAAGCGTAGTGCACCCTTCTCATCCAAGGCACGTAAACCCAACCAATCTTCTTTGTACATCGGTAGCTCTCTCAACGACGATACTTTAGAACCATTCACTTCAGAAAACCAGCCAGACTCCTTTGGAACGACAGTCTCATCATTTTGGAATATGTACATGGCAAAGCGTTCTAGACGCGCCATGTTATTCCTGTACATTTCATTCTTGAAGGAACGCTCGTTATTGATATCGGCAAGAAAGTTACTGTTGGCTAGATACTGCTCGTAAGCCTCTGGAGATGAAGAATCACGAAGATACTGAGCAGGTACTAGATAAGACTGGATAAATGAGGACCACGTGTTGGAACGAATTACGCCCAATGCGATCTTGCATAGAAGGTCTGTACGCGCACACACGTCAATCTTGCTGATGCCGCTATGTTGCGCTCCAAAGGTAACAAGAGAACGAACTGGTGGGTTGTTGCATCGTTCAATGTAGCCGCGTAAGAATTGACCGCCCTGGGAGAAGCCAAGCGCATCAACCGCTGGGGCCGTTGAGAGGATAGGGTGGGATGCTAAATCGGCGCATACTTGTTCAAGTTGCGAGCTGACGTTCCCAAAGAAGGATAAGCTGCGATCGGACTTGGCATCATCATTGAGCCTAATGTGATAGACGTAGGTTCCGGGATGGACGGCTTGGGCGGCGGCGGCAACGGAAGCCTGGCTTTCAGATGCATAACTGTCTCCTAAGCCATGCCAGATGATGAGTGGAAGAGGATCATTATCGTCTTGGTTATATTTGTTACTGGAATTCTCGGTCTCTAAGGACTGCTGTGCGGGGACGACAAAGGCGGTAGCTAGATGCTTGCTCCCAAGAATGGTAAAGAGTGAAGCTGCTTTAAGGAGCACCATGGTTAAGAGGTGGTATTGCGTGGTGACTAGAGATTGACTAAAAGAATGTTATCAACCCTAACGAAAGCAGTGAACGTTATTGGAGAGGGAAATGCAGAAGATGGGATGTGGTTAAGTACTAGCTGTAATACCACTCATTAATGCACTAATTCAGCACATCACGTTTAATGTCTGTGCACAGATCCAGCGTTACTCCTGGACGTCCATGTCATGAATGCCAGGCACAGATCGCCCCATGCAGAAGCAATGCCGTGAAGGTCTATTTTTACAGACTGTCGATTTTCAGCCCAAAGCAAGCCATGTCTCGAGCCGTGAGCCCCTGAGATTATTTTCCCGGCATTCGGTTGTGTGAGATGATGAATGTATGGATACACAGGAAGGATCATTATGTGTATGCAGAAAATACCGTTGAAGGGTGTGAAACGCCAACTATTCATGTTGATAGCCCCAATCGAGCGGCTTAACAGGACGATAGCGAGAGATATCGCTGCTAATTGAAGTACGGGAAATGGTGAGTAAGCCGGGGATTAACTCGTAGTTGGCCATACTGCAATCTAGAAAGTACACTTTAACTGATGTAGCAATGAATCCGCAGATTGAGAAATTCTACAAATCCAACGTCGCATGAGCAATGGTAAAATATGACGCGAAAGAATATCTCTTTCAGCCCTCATGTCACGACTAATTTTAACCATCTCCAAACGCTACAGAGAGCAAAGTGAAGCCAGTTTAATCTACAGTGGATGATGTGACCAACGTCGGCCACCAGCACTAGTCACCGGTAGTGTCTCAAGTCCTAACTTTCTTAGCCTCCAAGGCCTGGTCTCGAATTTTAGTCATGAGCGATGAAGTTGCCGGTGACGATATGGTCATGTATTAACGCAATATTGAAATCTAAAATTGTTTCTTGAGGCTGGTTATCATAGACTTTTACAAAGGAGCCACTGCAAGTCACTAACGTTTATGATGAGGGTTCTGTCAGGCCTCTAAACGCCTTCTTGTAGTCTGAATAATCAATAGCTACATCCATTAATCTATCTAAAGGGCAAATATGACTGTCGTGAAGCTTTACCCGGTGGAATTTGTAAATTAGCTACTTTAGGCAACATCCTAGCTGCTGGTATCATTTTGCTACAAAGTATGCTTAAAGTGCCGAAAAGAGGAAGTAACCCTATTTTCTATCTGTACTTGTCATGCCAGACTCTACAACCTTGCTTTTTTGCTTAGAATACTCAAGTGTTCGCTTTGTAACCATAGGACCGAAAGACTCTCATGCCGAAAACTTGAACGATACGTTGATTTGTAACGCTGAGGCACTTGTCGAGGTAAATAGTTTGGCAGAAGCTAGCGCTTACATGTAACATATTACTAATTGATTCGATTCACGCTTCTACTGTGAGGATGATGTATTAGTTACGCTGGACGAATATGATACTGGATGAGATTGAATGAGCCGTCAGCCCTTGAAGGTCGCTAGTTGGGCTAAGTTAGCTGGCCTATGTATTCGTAGGGCTCTCCAAATCCTCCAGGTGCAGGGAAGCTACTGATGGGAAAATATCGAAAAAACACAGGACCTTGTTTTTTGGACGGATATATTTGTATTTCTCTGTTCATACAGACAAGGGGGCAGTTTGGACGTGGATACTGAGTAATGACGCATATTTCGTTGTGTTGAATGGAAGAGAAATCATTGCGAAATGCGTTTGGATTGACTTGGGACTTCACAGGCGAACGATAAAAAGTAAATATAGCAGTTCCCCCCTCTGAGCTTTTACCGGAATTGCATTCAATCCATCGAGTGATTGTTAGAACGGGACCTCCGTAGAATTATCTACTTTCGTTCCGGCTTTTCCTTCGACACCCATGTCTATTCCGCAAATAAGACGTAAGGGTCTCTGATCCAACGACTTGTTTACTCAGCAATGACGTCCGACTCGGGGTTCCAACTTGACTCTAATGGGAAACTATCCGGCCGCACCGTACGCTAACGTGTCTCACCATCTTGACACTCACTGTTTCATTCAGTTAACAGCACCAGGTCATACGGACGAATATTGACTAATATTAACATTCGATATGCACTAGTGATCATTCCAACCAAACGATAATCTCCATCTCACAATACCGATTCGACTCGTGCGCCAGCTAGATGATATCAAATCTTCAAAATAGCGAGAAAAGAAAAATAAATTCAAGTCGAATGATCATGATAATATTTACTTGTCTTTTTAGTTTCTCAAGCAAAAAAGGACAGAAAAGGCTTGTCCTTTAACTATGATATGTTCGCGAAAATATAAAAAGGTGTTGACATAATGAGCCCATGCCGTGGCAGCATTCGCCGATATCATTCGAGTCATGAGCTGGTCCTTTCATCCCGCTCCCAACCGTTCTTTTGCTCTGGTGGAAAAAATACAGACTCTCATTTTAACCCAAAATATTATTACCTCTGCGATATTAGGCTCACAAGCTACTATCCTAAGGGGAATGGCTACACTTGATACTTATATTGCAAAAACCCGAGCTTAATTCAGAGAGTGATCATAACTCCATCTATGAATGTCATCCACACTCAAAAACAAACTTGATTCCATGCAGCCGACACTATAAACACAAGCTTACGAAAGAAGGTGCCGTGGTTCGCCTCCTGGTGGTGCTCTCTGGTATAGTTTGAGTTGCCTGCGCACCTACTTTACTTAAGAAGAAGACACCTAAGACCACATTTCGCGCGGAGAAGATTCAGTGGATGGAAGCATGTCTGGATAACTCAGGGGTTTTTAGACGTTCACCAGGGTGGGTATTCACGGATGAGGGTTGACTTGGGGTGAAGAAAAAGCCACCATAACTTCGCAGTGGTACTTGCAAACGAAATCTGAGGGGCGAGTGCTCTATGTTGAAATTCAGTCATCTTTTCGGTCCTTTTTCACTGATATTATGTCATAGCTAGATAGCTGCATACGCAATTAACATCTGACGCAAAAAAATAAGCATGGTGCATTAAGCACATTGGGTTCAACTCTTGTCCGTACAGAATACGTGTTCCCGGAGTAGACAGTCTACGATGCTAATGTGTATATCCATCTAGAATGTCAAGCACATGGTCATGGTATACTCTAACTGTGCCAAAGGGAGAGGGGAGATACTGAGAAAGGCAGAGAATCGGCCATTCGAAGCGATACTGAACAGCCCGAAAGATGTAGCAAGAATTACAAAGTGGACACAAAAGGAAGGAAGACTAGAGCATTTTCCACTTATGCTTTACGTCGAAGCCACGATAAGGGAGAGGGGAGAGTATGGGGAAGATGATCTCCTGCCGGTAACAAGGGAGTGGACGGTATTCAAACTTGACAAAATAGTGTTAGTCCACTTCTTGAAGGTAACATAGAATCAAGTTGTTGAAAGATTGAAAAGTTGAGGGGTTTGTTTTTTGCATCATTGAGGGGGTTATTACCTGATGGTTTCCTCCTATGTAAACATTTGAGTTCGTTGACACCTGCATAAGTCCATAGGGCGCCAAATCGGGCTAAATGAAATCAATTCAAGCGTGCTGCATCTCTCTGTTGCTGAGTCATTGTCTTGATGACTCAGCCAATACCATGAACTCCACGTTCGTAATGTTAACAGATAGAGAAGATAGACACAGTACACCCTTCACTTTTGTACCTTTCGATTTGCATTGAATTAACCCTACGTGTATGTTTGTTTAGGCCGATCGATAATAGCAGAACTTTTTAAAATCAAAATTTTCAGCATTTACCAGAAGATGTTGCCGGCAAAGACGAATTCTTTACCTTCAAGTGGTACCGGTATAAACACTCAGCATGCTCAATATATCTAGAAAGGACAAGAAAAATCGTTTCCGAATCGGTGTCACAAGTAAATAGAATTACAAGCACAACTACATTCAATTACTCCTCATCTATATCGGCCGTGTCATTCTCACGCGAGTTCTCTAACTTAACGTTACCACACATCACCTTGACTCAAAGACCGGCTAAAGAGTTGTGGCGACTGCAAACGGGATCCTACCTTATCAACTACTGGCTTTTTATCAATGTTAAATTACGGCGCCACATATAGCCCCAAGGAGGAGATTAAGTCAAAATATTCAAAGCTCGGGTCTTGGCTTGTCAAGGACAGTTGTTCTAATAGAACTTCATGGCTTGAGGGAGAAAAGGCAGCTTGGGCTCGCAGTTTCCATTGCTACCATTTTTTTTTCTTTTGGGTAGAAGGTTCCGTGGAAAAGGTGGGCGAATTCCACGGGTAAATACTGAGCTGAATGGCTATTCATGAAGGGGAATATAACAATGTTCTTTCAAGTAACAAAAGAGGACAGGAGCACTGTACGAGGTGTGGTCTGGGTCAGAGAGGAGCCCAATGTGCTAGATAGTCATAGACTCAAGTAGTACAGTAATAACAAACACAAGGCACATTGAGCGTGAAATTCAAGAGGGAAGAGCGCACTAATGGACGTGTCGGGATAGACAATTCTGAGGGGTTCGACTTTGGGACGTGCGTGGGTGCCAAGACCAGTATTTCAGATAGTGCTGCCGACTCTTTAAAAACAGGACGTACCACTTCTGCTTCGGTAAACGGAGCTGTGAGAAAGCGAGAATTAAAACATAATGTCTGGGTCCAGAGCCCTGCCTACCCCCTGTACGGAGGGCAAGACTGAACACCTGTACGTGGTGTCACCTACGAGCCTGCGAGTGAAATATTTTCCCAGAGCCAAGTTCAGTCAAATATCGCAAAGTCAAAGAAGTTGGCTCACGAGGCAATGATCCAAGACTCTCTACGAAATCAAACTCTCCTACCCAAAGAGATCGAATCATACCTAAGCCTCATCAAGTCTACAAGTACGACCTAGTATATCCTCATTCCAATGACCATACCTCTCGTCGACTTTCTCTGGCCTCAGCCGGTCACCAAATACACGCCCACGCCGATATTTACTCCCGATAGAGGAGGGAGACTATTCTCAACACCTGTCAGCGGTGTCCCCT